GTATATTGGACTGGTTAGATTTCCCATCAGACCAGCAAACACACTTTGACACACAACCCCACACTTGGGGTGGAAGGATATGCCTTTGAACCTTTTTCCAGAACCCTCCACCTACCAACCCTGAAGTCACATGGAGCTCGGAAAGTGTAGAGGTGACCTCTAAAAATGAAGACACACTTATTCAAAGTCTTTTCCAGTCTATCAGAAGTGGGACCTAGAAGTTTTTCTAAAGCTGTGTATCTCACTCCCTAGAAAAATAAAAACAACCAACAACTAAAAATAACCACAAAAACTTTGTTCCTCTGATAGGAGAGATCATAACTACTTCCTCATGGAGACCTTCCACTAAGGCCACTCTTTTCCCCACCTGTCCTCTGTGCTTCCTTCGCTGAGTATGATGAAGGCTAGGGAGGTGTAGAGTCACCGTGGTGTCACCTGTGTCTATTTACCACTTTTGAAGGGTGGCTCTAAGTTCTCTTAGTGAATTCTAAATGTGTTTTGAAAGCTCTAGTCCCATCCATGTAATTTTGCATTATTGAACTTTGAGGGAGGTGGTTGGCAAAGTTTAATTCCAGAGATGAATTGGAGTCACTGCACTGAGGCTAGATCCCGATGTGGAAGAGAGGAAGAAGAGCAGGCCTTCTGTCTGTTCAGGGTGGATGCGGCTGTCTTGCCTCTGCACTGGTGTTCGGCTGTCCACAGGAAGTGTTTTATAAGGTGAGAAGGAAAGCACATCCAGGAGGGAAGAGTGCACCAGAGGCTCACCCTGGCCCTGGCGCAGAAGCTCCTTGTCTCAGAGCTAATGCAGAACCCAGTCGTAGGGGTTGATATCGTCACATAAGAGCAATGCCAGAAGCGACCTTTGCCCTGGCCAAGAGACTCTCCAGACAGCAGAGCCGAGCTGTTGCTGAACATGAAAGGAGTAGGTGGCACTAGGATGCTGAAGGGCGTAGAGAAAGATGAGAGTTATGTTAGCAATGGATTTTGGTTTTCTTGCTATTGTTGTGTTTGTTTTTGTTTTTTTAATCTAGAGCCTTATACATGCTAAGTAAGCACTCTACCACCAAGTTTTAAATTTTTTTTCTATTTTTTTATTCAGACACAGAGTTTCACTAAGTTTCCTAGTCTGGCCTTCAATTTGGGATCCCTCCGTCTGAACCTTGCCAGTAACTGGGATTACAAGCATGCTCTGTCTCACCCAGCTAGTAATGGATGCTTAGCTAATGCTTCCGATGTGCCTGCATTGCCCTAGGAGCTTATAAAGTAGCTAGCTGAATCTTCACAACACCTCTATGAGGTCGGTACAGA